ATAACTACTTGAAGCTTCAAACCATGCATTTGTACCATCTGCACAAGCTCGACATAGGGTTCCCAATTGTACTTCAAAGGCCCGTCCTTTTCCACCAAACCCCACCAAGCATCCACCATTACGCCTTCGACTCCTGCACTCTTCAGGGCCATCAAACTTGCATTCATTGCTCTAGGCTTGTTCAAGCTTCCTCCCATTGTTACAGTGTCTAATGGCAGCATCACGTACACAGGTACCCTCTTCGAATCACTGTGACTATGAGCCACCGAAGGAGCATGCACCTTCTCCCATTTTTCGTTTCTCCTTGCTTCAGAATTGAAGCTGTTGTCGCGTGCGGGGCGTGCTTCTTGCATGGAATTTTTCACTCGGAGACGGAACGATGGCTTAACCTTTGCAAAACTAACTATCGCAGGGACATCATCAGAAGTTTTAAGGATTTTGGTTTCTTTCTGATTAATAAAAGAAATTGAAGAACGAAGTGTTAGAGCCATATTTTTTTTGAAGGATGTGTAGGAAGTACTCAGGATTGTTGGAGTGTATTTATAAGAAAGAAGTTGGGTTGGGGAGTTGAAGTTAACAACATTGGTGAGCTCTAATTGAAAAGTGGAAAAAGTGCAAAAAATCAAATTATTTCAACCTCGCTTACGTGTTTCCACCTCTTCCAATCTTATCTAACTCAAAACGTATGAGCCTCAGTTTTTAGCGGTTTTTTATTTGGTGTTTCCTCATGTGCATGCATTTCGGACCATATTTGGTGTATTTGCCTCGTCATGTTAGTAATTTAGGTTTTTCTTTACTAGGTTTTTCTTTGCTAGGAACATATAAAAATATTTATTTATATTTAACAATTATTGATCTTATTTGTTCGTATTTTTATTCACACACAAAAAATCAAAGTTAAATAATTATTTTTTGTAAAAAGACATTTATTAAAATGTTTATATAACTCTGACAAAGATTGATTTTACTTTTAATATTTCCACTCACAATAAAAGAAATCAAAGTTATTATAATGGAACCTTTCATTAAACTAAATGTTAACCTCAATTAATTGTAAAGATAGTAAATAAAAATCAAATTATTGTATAAACAAATAAAATAAACATTGCAATAATATTATACAGTATTAGAACCTAAAAAAATGTTAACCTACATAATTAAAAATAATAAATAATTATAGTAAAAAATGATAGAAACTTAAAAGAGATATTGTTTATAAGTTACATGTTAACTCACTTTTACCCAACTTAAATTCCATAACTAAAAACAAAAACTATATATGTTACTAATCCAATACAACTTAAATAGTTAGCACGTGAATTTGAATCTACTTTAATATCTCATTCATAGAAACAAATTTGAAAAGAGTAAACACAGAACAATCTAATGAGGTTTACAAAAAATAGCAGTTTTAGTTTTTGTTTAATTGTCTTTTAAGTTTTGCAGTGTGATTTAGGTTGGGTTTGAACGTTTAATTGAGTGTGCAAGGAGTAAAAGTAAAAAGAGAAAAAGAAAAAAAAAGTGAAGTAGTAGTTGAAAATGTACCAGAATCAATTATACTGCAATATAATTTATTATTTATTTACTTTTAAGCATAATCTAGCAACATATTACTTAGTTCTTAAAATAAAAGTATAAAATCAATCATGCTGCTTAAAAATAGAGAGACTATGTTTAAAATAAAAATACACAATCACTTACCACTATAACAATATAATAATTATAATTTTTTAAAGGTAATTTTTATAATAATAAAAATATTGTATACTTTTTATTTTATTTTTTCAATAAAAAATCCACATTCTTTCTCTTTCAACCTATTGACATTTTAATTAAAAATATTAATACCATTTGTATTGGTGCATGTATACCCGTATAAGCCACAAGTTGTATGAAAGAGGTGTATTGTACTAAAGTCCATTTCAAAATATAACTGGGGCTTCATCAAGTGACTGCTAATCCTATTACACTTATTCACATGCAATGCAATAGTTTTCCTTAACAAATAAACAATAAAGAATCTTCTGAAATGGTTAAGAGAAAAAGTCACATCTTTGATCTAAATTATTGAAATGTATGCTCTAACATTTGTTGAAAATAAAATTATTTTTCCTTTTTATTCTTTTACCCTTTCTATTTTTATTTATTTTGTTAGCATTATGTGAAAGTGAAAACTAACTTTTTTTTAAATACATTAGTATAAAAAATTAATTATAAATTAACTATAATACATTAATAATATTAATAATAATAATAATTCATTAATGATATTATTATTATTATAATCACTATAACTAATATATTGTTGTAAAACATTATAACAATATATCAGCTACCCTTAATATTTATAAAAAAATTATATAAGGAAATATAATAATAATATAGTATTATAATATCATTATCAAGAATAATTTTTTATTATAAAAATAATAATATTTTAATATTAATTTTATTATTATAAATTTATAATTATTATAGTTAATATATATATATATATATATATATATATATTAAATAATATATTTACAAATATGATATTCTAATTAATAAAAGATACTAAGAAATAAGCAAATAAATAAATAAAATGGCAGAGGGTGTAAGAGAAAAAAAAAATATACAAGAAAAGAGAGAGAAAATTTTCAAACAAGCATAATTTTTTTTAGGTTTAATGGTCTCTACTTTTGTTCAGATCTCAAATAGGACCTTTTCAAATAAGGACCCAATTAAGATGTAAAAAAAAAAAAGAAGGATCTTATTTGAGATTCTGAACAAAAATAAGAACGTATGGAAACATTAAACTTTTTTTCTTATCAAGAATACAGCAGAGTCTTATTCACAACGTATGTGGAAAGAATCAGTCTTCTTTGATACCCTCTGCAAGCAAACAGCGTTTGAACAGCGAAGCCAAAATGGAATGTTTAATTATTATTATTTTGTTTTCCTTTTATGTTATAATCACATATTGGTTGGTGTGATAATTGGTGTGGGGTTTTGTATTTCTGCCATAAGACGACAAACCCCACAAGATGAAGCAGCTTGTCACTCGTTTCTGTCTTCTGCCTTTTCCTGCAAACTGGGTTTTCGTGGATGAAAATGTCTCACAATTCCAATATTTTCTTGGTTCTGGTTCACCTTCTTCAGGATAAGAAATGTTGAATGCTCCTTTTGTTGTGAAAACATGTGGTTCAGAAGAAGTCTTTGGTTTAATTAGTCTTGGACCGTTCTTTCCGCGTGTTTATGATAACTATTCTCAATTTTTTCATACCATTTCAGATTTAACATGTGTTTTAGTGATGGGCATTAATAGAATTCTAATGTTGACCACTGATGTATAGCCATTGAATGTGGATCAGATGTAATATTTGTCATCTGGTCACAATTTTCACAAGACCTACCACACACTTGTTATAATATGCCTTCATAAAGTCCAAAATATGACTCTAGCATGAACAATTAAAATGCTCATGAGATTCTCCATTTCTTAATATGTTGCTAGTTGTGACAGAACAATGTTTTCAGTTGTGTATATGAAGTGAAATCAGTGTTTCTAAAATCCCTCTATATAGAGTCCTTTCGTGTATTGAAAAGTTTGTACTGTTCGTGGTGAAGTTCAAATCCCAGATAAACCATCTCCTCCTCCCCCCACTTCTTACCAGACAAAACACTGTCTATCCAAAAAAAAAAAAACAGACAAAAAAAAGACAAAACAAATCTTACACCGCTAATAAATTTCCCATAATTCCTAGTAGTTATAGCACAGTACGTGATTAATATATAACTTCCCAAACAAAAGATATTATTAGAGGGCAGACCTAAATGTTAGGAAGAACTTGGTTAACAAATGTACATTGTCGTTTATGATGCATATATCTGCATCAGATGGAACGTGGAAGCATTCAAATTTGATTTCGAAATCGAGCAAGTTGATAGTTTCAGAAATTTGATTCGGAATCTTCCAAAATGCTTGATTTTTGATATTTTGTACTCTCCTATGAAGGGTTATTGAGATGAGCTGTGTGCACGTAATTCATACGACAAAATTTGTGGAGGAAATAGAACCTTATCTTTGCGTTTTGTCACATTTCCGATCTCAACTAAACAATATTAGATGGAAAAAAAAATGATCAATCAATGACCAAGGGAAAAGGGGCATGCAAACAAGTTATGCTTAATATTCTTACGTAAGAAGTTAGCATTTTAAGATATGGAAATCAACATAAAAAATGACAGAAGCCATCGACGTTTGATTTGAAGATTGTTTTCTTAACACTAGCTTCTCCTAGAGTAAGAAAAAAAGACAGCTTTCTAAAACCCCTCGTGGTGAATTCACTGATTTCATAAGATTTCTATCCGAAGTTGTTCAAAAGAAAGGGAATCACTCACTTTCAGACAAAGCCATGTCAGTTCTTATTTTTGCATGGACAAGTAGGAACCATGATTGGTGATGAAGCTAATAAGTGAAGTTCAAATTTTAATGGTAAATGAATGCTGTTTATGGCCATGAATACGTGGAACCTAACTTTTTGTTCAATATAATCCGTCCCTTTCTTAAAGAGAATCTAATTTCATTGTCGTGATACGAAAAGCTCTTTCTGATGCAAGTCCTTTAACATGGCATTAAAATGAAGGTTGGAGACCTCTGCAGTAACTTGCAACTAAAATTAATGGAAGGGTGGGTGGGTTTTGGCAGAAGTTTATGCCATTCCTACATAACAAGGTAATCTCTATTTACTTCTTTTAAGTGGACAATAATGAAAAATTTGGAACTAAAATCAATTCACCTAAATATTTGGAATTTACAGAACGTAGGATGAACTTATGTGTAAAATGTAAGGTGGAACACCTTTTAAAAATATCTAGAGATCTTCCAAGATATTTTCGTAGGACATGGTACGTCAATAATATCTAGGAAATTGAGATATCTTACGAAAATATCCGGTTCATACGTCTATCCAGTGAAATTTCCTAGGAATCTCAATGTATAGAATCTGAGATGTTAATTAATAACACATAATAATAGCATATCCTTAAGGGCTGATTGAAATAAAATAGTTCTTCAATAATGTATGCACTGCTGTAAATAATGCGCTACCTTGTACAGTACAACCATGAACTATAAGTTCTCAATCGTACAACAAACGATTACATTGGGAACAAATATTATCGTTGCTGGAAACTGAAAATTCAAGACTCTGCAATGGGGAAAACAGATCCAATCTTATTGCCAAAACGATAGCACTTGATATTAACTGGATATGGACCGAGTTGAATGTGGTTATCCTCCCTACCAACATAGAAACACAGGGTATATAAAGCAATTTCAAATTCAGGGCTCACTCCAACCAAAGTGCTTGATAAAGATTTCAGAACACCATTCCATTCAAACTGAACAGTTAGAAGCTGCGTTTCCGAATCAGGCTGCAAGTTATGACGGCAGAGAGCATTAAAAATGAGGTGGTTACAGCTTAAAGTACTGCAAATGTTTACAAGAAAATCAACATATCCAAGCTATGTAAGAGGTTTTTACGTAATGAAATAGAAATATGAATTAAGGCTTACATTGTTTTAGGAAAAATACTAGCTGCTGTTGAAAAATATTTTCAAAATGCTTTGATGTCTGGCTAATAATGAGTTTATTACTTTCATGTGATTTGTGCACCAAGCTTCTATTTTCTATTTGGATTATTGCCAATACAATAAGCTTAAAAATAGTTACTCACAGTTTCTCCCCGTCGACGGGGGAAAATATAGCCCTGATAATCAACTCTCCCCTTTTCTTCTTCAAGGTAAAACTGTCAAAATACATCAACAGGTGAGATAGAAAAAGTCACATATTACAAGTTTATATTACAAATTAAAGAAACAAAATATGTCTGTGCAGGCTTCATCTAATTATCAGATTAAAGACTTCCCAAATAGCAAGAAAAAAACACTTAATTATCGGAAAAAATAGAATAAGACATTGGCAGGTCTGAATAAGTATTTATTTTTACAGCACTTCATTCGCAAACGATTGGCTATACAAGGCTATAGCAAAGGCAATCTCAACTATTGAAGTCATTCGTCGAGGAATAAACACTAAACTGTGCAACAGTAAACTAATCCACAATAAGACAATATTGGCTAATCAATGAGAGTGTTAATGTCAGAATAATTGCAGAAAAGAGCACCAAATATGACTTCCAATATTATAAAGTGGTGCACCTTCAATTTGGCATGAATATGAACAGATAAATAAATATTAGATATAAAAACAGGCAGAAGAAAAATATGATGTCATACCTGCAGCCAGTTATGGAAGCCAGAAACTTCGCCACTTTGTTTGATTTCTCCAACAAAAACATGTTCAAAAGAAGAAGAGGAGCCAGAAGTGCCACCACGGCCATAAAGGTCAAACCATAGATTGGTCATCATTCGTTTGAAATCTTGGTAACTCCCTGATGCAATTCCCTTAGATGCAAGATAATTGTAAAGATATTTAATTGGTGCTGTTCTACTGATTTCTTCTATGAAAGAAGCTTGCTCTTGTCTCTCTTCGGATGTGACAACTTCCTTACATCCTTCATTTGGATTGTAATTATCTAGCAGCGAGAGAAAACGAGCAAATGTAGGCCTTCTGAATACATCATCACTAACCCAAGTAAACAAGCTCCCCTCTGCCATATCTTCGTTTTGGAAAACCTTTTTCCCTTCACCACAGTCAATTTCATAGTCTTTGCCAGGTACCAACCGATTTAAATCAAGATCCCAGAGTTTGTCACAAGCTTTTGATAGATCAGCAAGTTCATCTTCTGAGGGATTCAAACCAGCACCGATTTCAACCTCATTAGAGTATTCTTGCTCCTCAGAAGGTCGTTTGTAGTTCTGCCAAGTTTCCTTCGGAACCTACATGAACTTGGTAAGATCCATCATTCAGATTCAGACAGGGATGAAGCATAAAACATCCAGAACTGGTTATATCACAGATTCAGTAACAAAGTTAACATAGAGTAGAATTCAAAGAAGAATACATGTAACAACAATATCAACAAAATAAGATTTGTTTATAACGATACAAAACACTGAAAAAGCCGAATAAGCTTTTATATTAGATATGTTGATGAAAACTCAAAGACAAACCTTTTGTGTCCGCCTTGGAGGATTTCCAACAGTCTGCCATCCATCTTGATCTTCAATAACCTGCAAAAAAATAAAAAACGAGTCTCACCTTAATAGTTCTATTTAATAGAAAAAAAAATGCTTTGTATTTTTTACGGCATCACTTGGAAAGAAGGCACAGCCTATTCGTTGTCCAAACTTTCTCAACATGTTCAACGCTACCATATTCTCACTCACAAACCTTTTGTGGTCTCCTTGAAGGTTTGCCAACTGTCTGCCATTCATCTTGATCTTCTTTCACCTGCAAAAAATAAAAAAAGGAGTCTCACCTTAATAGCTCAATTTGATAGAAAAGCAAATGCTTCGTATTATACACGGCATCACTTGGAAAGAAGGCAAAACCTATCCATTGTCCAAACTTTCTCAACATGTTCAATGCCACCATACTCTCTCTCTCTCGAAGCCGGATTTTCAACTACCCAATTCAGTGGAACATTTATCGTGTTATTTGAAGAAGAAGAAGAAGAAAATTCTTCCAATGTCTTTCTCCAAAAACAATCTTAAACTATATGCAGACAAATAGATCTGAATGAAAGCAAGTACATATTGAGCACAAGCGACGCAGCACCAAAATGTAACAAATCTGATAGCCCAACTTTATTATATATTAAGCGTCATTAAGAGTAATTTGTCACTGGGACAAATGACCCCAGTAATCTATATCACATCAAGGTAACAACCAACAAAAAATGATATTGCTATTGCTATACGAACAAAGTTAGGTATCAACTATACAACTTTAAAATTTAAAAGATTTAGCGACAATCTCTTGAGATATCCAAACATATCATTTATAAACTTCAAATCTAAGAAGCAGCCAAGCCATAACTATCTATGTTCAAGGGGTTAATATAGCAAAGTTAACTTGAAGCTAAGAGAGGAGGGGATTACCTTGTGGCCAGTGTTGAAATTTTGAGATTGGCTCTCCTCATGCTGAGGACGATATACTGCCTGGACAGAGAAGAAGTGTGGTTACATGAAGAGCTACATAAGAGAAGAGTATGTTATTGGATTTAAGAATTGAGAACAATTGATTGACATTCACCTGATGGGGCCTGTTGGTATAACTGTGACTATCTTCTTCCCACCGTTCTTCCTATAATGGTCATAACATTATCAAACGAGTAACATTACATATTTTTGGGGAATTGAGAACAAAGATGAAGAAATGTGACCTTTTCGGGTGAGTTGGACCACTGTGTCTGTTGTTGCTGCTGCTGCTGCTGCCGATGAGGACGAGGCTGATCCTGCAAAAATAAAAATTTAACATTGATATTACGTGATCCTGAAAAAAAACCAAACTTGAAAAATGGGAATGTAGAATTGACATAGTAGAATCGGAAACCTGATCCTGATCGCCGGAGACAAGGTCGGCCCAGGAGCGTTCACCGTGTTCTTCTTGGCGATCGTTGTGATCGGCACCACCGATAGCAAGATCGACCAAGTCCTTTATCAGACCGTCCATTTTGATGTTGATGTTGTTGTTGAAGCTGTTGAAACTGAGATAATGAATCTGAAATGTGTTGGTTGGATAAGGTAATTTGAGAGTGACAATGGCGGGTGATTAAATAAATTAATAATATCAGTAATATAAGAAAAAGAAACAAAACATTTTTTTATAAAAGAATATAAATAAAATAGTTTCAATTATAATTTTGTCCGCAAAATTTGAAATGACTTTCTTAGTGCTTAAATTATTTTTTGTAATAAAATATATTTTACTTATTTAAATTTAGTAATAATACTTTTAAAGTTTTGAAAGAGAAAAACAGTTTTAAAAATCTGAGAAAGTAATAAAAAATAAAATGGGACAAGGATTATCCTAAAGAATAAGACTAAAATCCTAAATAAAAACCAAATTATTCTTATTAAAGCATAATTAAGAGAAATTGATGAAATGGGATGAGAATTGGATCACAAGAGATACAAAATTGTTGTTTCCTTGGCTTGCCGACATGGATGAGTGGAAGTGGGAGATTCAACGTCATGAAATGAAAGTCAAAGGCCACCTTTGATGATATACTCCTCACGTGAGATTAGATTTCATAATTTCTCGTATCACAAATAAAAATATCAACGGTCAAGATAAAAAAGGAAAGAGGGGAATTAAATGCAACTATGAAAAAAATATGACTTTTTTAAGATTTTTATATAAATGAGAAATGTAATAAAAATTTAACGGTAACGGTATCCCTGTTGGTTATATGCCAACTAACTCTAAAAGGTTGTTTCGCCGTCAATTATTTCACAATTTCAGAAATCATTGTTCAAGAGTTCTAGACATTTTTTTAAAAAATTCACAAATATATAAATATTTCATATTGGATATTATAAAAAATTTCTGTTATCGCATAAAGATTTTTTTTCTTATATAATATCCTATATTATGTGAATAAAAGAATATGTATATAATTATTATAATATCATCATCATATATGTCAGATTTATTTATTAATTCTTCTATAAACAATAACGTCCTAATATATTTATGACCGTATACAATTAAGTCTCGGTTACACCAACATTTTCATTAATATTATTTAAAAGTAGGTTTAATTACTTGATTTTCACTTCAGTTGAAACTTTTTAAATTAGTTTTTGTTTAAAAATGATATTATTTTTTTAAGTTTCAATTGTATCTTAATTTTTGAAAAATATTTTTTTAGCAAAAATTATTACACCTGTGGTTTTCGCTTATCAATATTAATGTCAAATATTATTATTTTATTTAAATTTAATTTTTAAATATATTTCTTTAAATTAATTTAATTTTACTTTTTGAAAATAGAACAATAATGCCTCTTTCTAAATTGTGATGAAAATTGTGATAAAATTTATTATTTATATAAATGTTATACAAATATTGTTAACATATTTAAATATATTATTAACAATGTTTTGATAATCATATTTCTTTTACAGGATTAAAATTAATTAAATATAAATATTTTTACAGAAAAAGTAAGTAATAAAAAACATGGTTAACATTAATAATATAAAATAATGTAATATATTAAAAAATGGTTTTTAATAAGATTAAAACTAATTAAATATAAATATTTTAAGATTAAAATTAATTAAATATAAATATTTTTACAAAAAATATTAATTAAATATAAATATTTTATTATTAAAACTAATTAAATATAAAGTTTTTATAAAAAAAATAATAAAAAATATAATTATTGTTAATAATATACAATAATGTAATATGTTAAAAATTTATTTTTAATTAAAAGCACTATTATAACATTTATATAAATAATAAATTCTATCTAAAAAGAATAATATTACATCATTTTAAAAGATAAATTAATTTAAAAAGACATATTTAAATTCAAATTAAATCAATAATATTTAACATTGATATTAATACCTAAGTGTTATATCAACAACTTGACACATGATAAACAATAAAAATAACTTATTGAGATGTAACATGCCGTTAATATCATTAATGTCTTTTTTAAAATTTAATTGAGACATTTTTTAAAAAAAATAGAATACAATTAAATTTTTTTTACAAAAAATAAAACACCATCAAAAGTTTTTAAAAAACTAATATCTACTCCAAACAAGTGAAAATAAGTAATTAAACCCTAAAAATATTACATAAACGTTGATTAGAGTACCTAATATTACTTTTAAATGTATTTATTGTAGGTAAAACGAACGCTACCATTAATAAATTATTTTATAAATTGTTTTATGTATTGAAATTTATTATATGTAAATTAATCATTATTTTTTAAAATTAGTGTGGGTAGTGGGACCCACGGTAATAGTGTTGGTTTCAGTACCTGCACAAACACTTCTGGCTTCCATATGTGAATGGTGAATTTTTACTTGAGTGATTCTTCCTACACTTCACTGTCTTTATCCTGCACCCTCAATTTTACCTTTTTACCCTTTATTAACAAAAAGTTAAAAATTAATACCACATTTCGAAGTGCGTTTTAATTAATTTTTTTCTAACCGCATTTCGAAGTGCGTTTCCTATAATTAATTGTTTCTTTCCTAACCGCACTTCGAAGTGCGTTTCCTATCTATTTAATTGTTTCTTAACCGCACTTCGAAGTGTGTTTCCTATTTTAATAATCGCACTTCTAAGTGCGTTTTAATTAATTGTTGCACTTTAAATCCAAAATAATATTTAACATTACATATAATAATTATTATTTAATTCAATAAACAATTTAATAATTATTTGAATTTCATAAAAAATTAAAAAACTTAAATAAAATTAAATACATAATAAATAATATATTAAGAAAATAATAATATGTTGAAAAATAACAAATTCAACAAAATTTAACAAACAAATAAAATAATTCAAAATATATTAAAACAAAACATTTTATTTAACAACTAACATAAAAAATTAAATTTATTATACTAACCTAATAAAAATAAAACCTAATAAAATAAATATATACTAACCTAATAAAAAAATTAAAAAACTAAACCCTAAAAATCTAACGCACTTCGAAGTGCGGTTTGTCTCAGCCGCAGATCGAAATGCGGTGGGTTTGTGCTTTTCGCTTTTGGAGGTGCAGGAGGAAGTTGCCGCAGTTCGAAATGCGGTGTGCAGGAGGAAATTGCCGTAGTTCGAAATACGGTTTCTCTGTGAAGGGTATCATTGGAATTAAAATATGTTTTGGAGGTGCAGGAGGAAAACCGTGAGGTGCAGGGATAATCACTCTTTTTACTTACTCAAAGTGGAACACTGATCATGATTAGTACCAACCTTTCTTTGTTTGCGGGGTTTTTTGGATAAAGCTATTTATCCTTTTTCTGGTAGGGATTAAAGATAACTTGTATGTTTATAATGATAGTCATATTAAAAATAATTAAGTTGACAATAATAATAATAATAATAATAAATAATAATAATATACTATTATTATGGTTGGATGTAAATTTTACCATTCTAATATTTATTTTGCTTCTTATGAGTATCAAAATTATATATAATTTTTGTGCATGTGGAGTAGTGGATAGACCTTTACATCTATTTTTACTTGTTGAAATAGTTATTAAGTACTTTTTTATAAAAAAAAAGTAAAATTAATACGATATTATAAAAAGTTTAATATAAAAAGAAGATACTTCTTCTTCTTTTTATTGTGAAATAAAAACTATAATTGCATAAGTTTTAAAATTGTGAAATAAAAATTATAACTGTATAAGTTTTAAAATAAAGTAATGTTCTAATAAGAAAATTCAGTGAGAGTATTACATTAAGTTAAAGCACTTGTTAATGTGCGTGTTCATATATTTGTTTCAAAAATTTTAGGGTCAATTTATACACTTTTACATAGTTAATCTAATTTTTTCAATGGGTACTTGGATGTCAAGGCATAAGAGATTATGAAACTTAATCTCTTATCATTTTACTGGTCTTATGATCTTAATCATCCATGTATATTTTGGATTTATTTCATGTTTACAAATCCTTGGAAATTATATTCCAATACAATATGATAGAATTAGGACAATATCCAAACTCTCCCAGATGTTAATCTCTCAATGAGATCATGTTTGTTAACTTATTAATAAGTATAACAAATAATAATTCAAAAAGTTTAAATATCATTTTTTAAAAAATTTACATGTGTTTAGCAAACGTGCACTTTTTTACTAATTTAGATTAAGAATATAAACATTGTTTAATTCAAATTTCACATTATGATAATTCTAAATTCAATGCATGTAAATTGCCAATTTAAGCTTAAGTTAAATGATTAGGGAAAAGGTTCACCATATAGGTTTCATGAACTCAACTCAATGCAAAGACTTTAATCAATATATATTTCCATCATAACCCAAATATTTACACCACAAGACACTCTAATTCCTCAAAGAAAAGTTTTAAACCTCAATGTTAAAATACTAATTCCTCATATATTACACAAAATTAGATTAAGAATATGTGTTTAGAATGATCAATAGAATTTTATCTAAGTTTTAAAGTATTTTCCCATGTTTAAATACCACAAAATAACATAGATAATCAATCGTGCACATCGAGCACGAGAAAAAAACACAAGAGTCATGAAAAAAATTATACTGCAAAGAGAAAACTACATTAAGATACATGACATTCAACCCTGATAAATAGGGAAGCTAGCTACTCATACACATGAGGAGTACAAAAATTGGTAAAAGAAAGTGGTGGACAAGTTTCCTCTACCCAACATTTGGTCTTTAGTCAAATTTCTTCTACAAAAAAACTCCAACTTTTCTTCCAAAACTCGACTTTTAAACATCCACCAAAAAGTAGCTTATTGTTAGGCAAGGGTAGTACTCACTGGGTGAGTAGTTACTGGAAAGGCGTTCTTAAACCTTTTTAAAACTTCCTATTAGAGATCTCGTATCAACTCGAGATAAGGTGAGTCTATAGTATATAAATGAGTGCAAAATTTACCTTACAAGTTGATTTTGGATGTTGAATTAGGTTTAAAATTCATTTCTTAACATTGTATCAAAGTCATGGTTAAAATTTATCTTAACGAGACTTGTTGTTTATTGAGTCTATCATGT